CTTTTCTCATATCCCTTTAGTGTACTCCATTTCTCGGTTTTGCTCTGTGTTTTCCTCAGTCCTCTCCTGTAACTACGTTACCTCAGGTTTCTTTTATTTCTCTCCTCTAGCCTCAGGGCTTTCTTCTCCCCCACCTCCTTTTATTCCTCTCCCATTTATTTGGAACAAGGGTATCTTACTTTATGAATAAAAACCCAGCAAAGACAAAAAGCAAATAAAACAACAACAAAAGTAAACAGCTATAAAGGGAGGGGGGTTCTCCTATATGCTCTTCTCATACCTTGCCTGCACAGCTCTTCTTGCTTCTAACAAACTCCAGAGCCACCAATGTATCTTTATTTAAATATCCATTCATTGATATTGTTATATTGCCTTTATATAAGCTGTGTAGGTATTCTTATTATATTGTGATATATGGTTTTTTTATATAGATGGTTGTTGCAAGAAGCACATTGTACATTGGGACTGGGACATTCAGAAGTGTCTCACATTTAACAGATGAAAATAGGGACATTGTTGTACACCTTTTTCACAATGCCAAAAATGCATTGCCTGAGTTCTCCCACAACTGTTGAGACTCTTTCTTGCACCTGTGGTGTGCTGTGTTGGTTTCCTTTGCAGCAGCCAGCCTCTCCACAGGCTTCTGAAGCAGGTATATTCAGAAACTAGTTGCAATTTTTATAAAGCAGCTACAACCCAAACACATTCAGCATTGTTTACAATTTGGACAGGGTGCAAGACCTCTTAAAATAATGAATTTAGACATAGCCTGGGTTTGTTCACATAGCAGAAGCCAACTCCAATGCAGGCATGCAGGCATGATAGCACCATTTTAAAATCCAAGTATCTGTGCCTCCAAGTATCCCCAAATGCCAAATAAGAAATAGTGATTTTCCAGAAACACCATCAGAAAAGCAAGGGCTATCTTTAGTGGCTGAGGAAACCCAGCCCAATGGGCAGGGGATAAATTGTTGTTGTTGTTGTTGTTGTTGTTGTTGTTGTTGTTGTTGTTGTTGTTGAAACACTGCTTTCAAATATCTTCTAATTTTATCAGAAAAGTTGCCTGTGAACACTTTGTATTTCTGTCAATACATAAAATGTTTATGAACATTCTAAGCAGGGGTGGCTAAACTCCAGATTTTGTTGGACTACAACTCCCATCATCAGCCTTTGTTTGTTGTGATGTTACAGAGTCTGTAACCTGAAGCATATGTAACCTGAAGCATATGTAACCCGAGGTACCACTGTATCTAAGCGTTCCCTCAATGCAGTGCTTTTTTCTGGGGGTATGCAGGGGTATGCATACGCCTAAACATTTTTTGAATCTTTGTACTTTTGTCCATTTACTGCAATTATTTTTCCTGATTTGAATTACAAAATGTTGATTATCTTGAGTCAAAATGAGAGTACCCCTAAACATTTTTTTTTAGAAAAAAGCACTGTCTCAATATATTGATGTACATGGAGAGTCCCTTCATGTATGGGACATTTAAACTGATTTTTTTCCCCTTTCCATTGAAGTAAATGACAGACTTTTATAGTTAACTAGTCCACAGCAAACAGAAGGATCATGACTTCTAATTATTCATGGATAACTCTTGGGGTAGGCTAAGATTATTATTTTTAAAAAATTAACTGGCTAAATCCAATACAAATTTGTTCTTCCTCTTTCCCCTCTTTTAATGTACAAAATAGGAAGCTTATTTCTGCACTTTCAAACCTTAGAAAGGCCAACTTCCACACTCAGTGTATTAATGTAAATTTTTAAATCCCCTTTATACTTTTTGTTATGCTTTTGGATTAGGCTCTTTTGGAAAACAGGCAGCTATTTGGGACTTCTGAATATATTCTGAATGCACTGTTTTCTTCAGGCAGAACAATTTGCACAGCGGTAAAAATTATAGTTAAAAATACTAACCCTGGGTAGGCATCTATTATACCCATTATCCTAGAAAAGTTTCTATGCAAATATTGTCAAGGATTTCAGCATAGCAGGAACATTTTCTAAGCCTTTAGAGTTGTTTTGGTAGAAAATACTGCTAGTGAAAGTTGAAATAAAAAAAGCTGTATTGTTAGGAGGTCCATATTTTCCCCATTTTAATTGCCTAATGGTACTTGCCAAAGAGACTGTAATTTTATTCAGCTGTGTAGCTTACTTTATAAAGCTTCAACTGTTAGTTGTCATTATTTTTTGAAGAATAAATTGGCACCAAAGAATAAATTGTGTGTGCAAACTTGATGATCACACTAGGATGACTTTACTATCAGAAAGTCTGGGTACAAGAGCTAGACTAGTTCAGCCATCCTCAACCTGATGTCCGCTAGCAGGGGCTGGTGATTGTTGTAGTCTAACAACATCTAGCAGGCACCATGTTCAGAAAGTTTCTTCTAGATCTAGGGAGAGGATAGCTTAGAACACATATCAAATTTTTTTTTAGTCTTCTAAGCACATATTTAGGACTATGACCTAATAATGTAATGGGAATACTGAGCAAACATCCATAGACCAACCTGTATGTCCTTGTGGAGTTGCTTTACTTAGATATGAAATGTATTTTTAGCAACTCTAGGCAGTGGAGCAGTTAGGTAATTTTTAGTCTGAACTCAGCGGTCTTACAAAGCCTCCCTCTGTGCTCTTCTATGTTATCAGTGATACAAAACAGTTATTTCTAGTTTTCACCAAAGACATACTTGGTGAATATTCAGCAGCATCCTGTTTGGCTTTGGGATGTAAAAGCCATTCCATGTATTGCGTGCCTCATCACTCCTTGTATACTAGGATAAGGATTAAAGGTAAAGGTATAGGTACCCCTGACAGTTAGGTCCAGTTGCAGACGACTCTGGGGTTGTGCGCTCATCTCGCTTTATAGGCCAAGGGTTGGCATTTGTCCCCAGACAGCTTAACCAATTAGTCCAGGATGTGTTTTGCTTTCTTAGTTGTGGAGGTGTACTATAACTGGACAGCTTGTAGGTTCATAACCCACTTGTCTTGTATTACATTTTCCTAATCAATACCTTTGTGATTTGGTTCTCTAATTATGTCACATTTTATTATTCAAACATCATACATTGACTTATAACAAACTTTCCCTGAAGAATAAGCAAGCCAGAGACTTACTACAGAGATTAGACTTTATGGTCACCTATTGCTGCTGTTGAACTGTCATTTCTACTTAGAGAAATATTAGGTGCATAATGTATTATCTACAGAGGCTTACAGTTTAAAATAAATTGCTGAAGACAAAACTCACTACCCTTGGGTCTTCCAAAACTGAACCTTATTTTTCTCCATAGAGCAATTAGACACTTTTTCAAAGTTCCACAAAATACCAAAAACTACGTTGGATGAATAATGCAAATAAAAGCACTTTTACCGGCAATTTAATTGCCTTTGCAATTCACCCTAGTTTGTGTGTTCCTTCTTCAGTCACACTCATCCATGCAAAATTCTGGATGTTCTTAGTAGAGCTGCCTCCTATGTTATGGAGCAGAGGCAAAATAGATTATGCCTCTCTCGTTATAATCTAGTTCAGTACCTTTTAAAGGAGTCAGCATGCGTTTAACTATCTTAAAAACATTAGAAGATCCCTGCTGAATCAGAACAAGCCCATCCAGTTTAGCATCCTAGTCTCACATGGCCAGATGGCTATGGAAAGTTCACTAGCAGGACATGAGTGCAACAGCACTTTCCCCAGTTGTGCTCCCACCTACCAAGGAACTGATACTTATTAGTCTAAACCCCTTTTAAAGGACCTGATACCTATTTGTCTAAATCCCTTTTAAAGCCATACAGGTTGGCATTGATATGCCTCATGGCTTTCACTGAATCACATTTACCATTTTAATGCCTGTCCACCCAATTTTGGAGCTGCTTACAATCTCTTTTTGTTCTTGACAGCCTCTACCATTTGGTGTCATCAGGTCACCTTGCTGCTCATACCTAACTCCAGATCATTTATGAACAAGCACAGGTCCCAGTACTGACCTTAAGAGGACTCCACTTCTTATATTTCTCTGTTGTGCACATTAGAAAATAGTAGCAGAAATGTATATACTTTGCTGATATGGAAAACAAAGAGATTAGGTTAGGTTCAAAATAGCAGACAAAACTCAGGTGGGAGTTATGCACAACCATGCATATGGAGTTTTGAACATTCTTACTTTGCAGCAAGTCATCAGCACTTTAAATTGGAAACATGGTTTGCTTGTTCCAACGGGCAAGTGGAAACTTCCACAGCTAGATTTAATACATTGAGCTCTTAAAAGGTAAAGGTACCCCTGCCCGTACGGGCCAGTCTTGACAGACTCTAGGGTTGTGCGCCCATCTCACTCAAGAGGCCGGGGCCAGCGCTGTCCGGAGACACTTCCGGGTCATGTGGCCAGCGTGACAAAGCTGCATCTGGCGAGCCAGCGCAGCACACGGAAACGCCGTTTACCTTCCCGCTATAAAGCGGTCCCTATTTATCTACTTGCACTCGGAGGTGCTTTCGAACTGCTAGGTTCTTGTGTGCTATTGGTGCTTTAGATGTAAGCTCACATAGGAGGAGCCCATGCCTTGCCCCCTTCCCACAACAGCGTCTCCCTGTAATGGAAGCGGTGTTGCTATGGAAAGAAATCATAGCATGGGGCTTCTTCCCATGACCTTGAACTTTTAGAAAGGGAGGAGGAGGAGGAGCCTATTGCAGAGGCTGATGTAAGAATGGGCATTCATTGTCATTGAACTGCCCTTCTTTCTTCTTTTGTTATGGTTTTTCAACTTCACTTTGTATTTCTGTGTTAATGTGTTATGTTTTAATACTAACCTCAGAACATGCCAATCTTTTTTCTTATTTTTGTAGAAAGTAAATGTTTGCTATAAGTAAGTTTTATTATCTGAGATATGCAAAAAAGATCAAAGCAGCTGTTATTTACACACAAGTTGTAAACCTATAAGAGGTTTTTTTCATATCTGTATAAAGTGGGTTTTTCTTTCAACTAATTAACCTTTTATTTATTTCTAGTTGTATTGCTTGATACAACCTCTGCAATTGGAGAGCTAGGATGGAAAACCTATCCTCTAAATGGGGTAAGTCTATCTATTTAGATTTTCATTATTCTGCATTTGCAGTTTTAAAATAAAGTCAAACAAATGGGCAGTAACTTTGAGGACTAATGCAGTAGGGACAAGTGTACTCAGCTCTATGAAAAACTGGGATTTAGTAAATATTTCTAATAATAGAACTGCATACATAAAAGGCTATACATACAAAACAGCAAAAATATTTATGACAGGATTTTTGTTGTTAAGGTGTGAATATCTTTTTTTGCAACCTTGTGAAAATTATGATTTACTGTTTTAAAAAGTATATGAATGAAATCGAATGTTATACTTCAAATCATATTGAGCATGATTTAAAATGTATATTAGGGCTATCTGAAAAGTGTAAATAGGAAATTTCCCTACTTGCTGTTAAGAATGTGAATGTTACCTAGATTTTGTTTTGTCAGGTTTAAAAGTTCATTATTGCAAACATTAACCCCAGTTCAATGAACCATCTGCAAAACAGGGTCCCATTGCTAGCCATGGAAGTCATGGATCAGCAAATGCAAGCTGTTGCTTAACAAGGGGAAAGCCCTAGCTGCACTTGCATTAGTCAGCTGTTGGATTCTGGCCATGATGTTATGCAAATATAAAATACTGAGGATACAAATTGTTGGGAGTGCTTTATGAAGCCTCAGCTGTCATAGCTGGTGAACTGCTAGTCTTGCCACATTTTGTTATAAGTTATTGCAACACTCCTATTTGTAGAAATGAAACAAAGTTTGAGAATACTATGGGTATGCAATAAACCCATGGAGGGATTCTGTACACCTGTTTCAATCTTGGTAGGAGACCAATATATAAACATGATAGCTGCAGTAAATAAAACATGAACAGCAAAATAATCAGATCTAGCCTAGCCTTTCTTCAGTAGGTCCATTCGCTCCTTCTCGGACAGGAGGCTTTGCAGGCAAGCCCCGGGGTTCCTCTGTGAACTGGCCTATTACAGGCTGGATCGTCCCTCTGCTGCCAAATTGGCCAATGGCGGCAGGAATTAGAGGACATTCCCCTGGGCATGGGACCAACTGACCAATAACGGCACTTGACCCCACGCCCAGGGCAAAAATAATTTCCCAGCCTGCTGGGCCTTTTGGCTTCTCTCTTGGCTTCTGTTGTTCAAGGATCCTTCCAGGACTGCCAACTTGACTAAAATATTGGGGTGGCTCAGGTAAGCCCTGCCCCACATAATATATGACACAGCGCACGCACACACTACTTGAATGGCAATACCCATCAACATGGGAGCAGGGCCTCCTCAAATATTTTAATGGGGAGGGGCGAAGGGGCCTCAGCCCCTAGGAGTTGGTTCCTACAGCTCCTTTTGACGTTACATTACTGGTGTATAAGCCACTGCGGTATGTGGTCTACTCACTGTGGTCAGGTAATGTCAAAAGTAATGTCATGTGAGAATGACAAATCCATGATGTGGCCCCTTCAGATTCTAGCATTGTTGAAATTTTCATAATGGGCACCTCTGGTGAACCACTTATCTCCAGCTTTGCTTATGTGATCTCAATCTTATGGCACTATTAAGGCATGAAGGGATTATTTAACAGGTCTTGGAATCAGCTTCTGCTTGGCAAATGGAAGTAACTTCTTGCAAAAAAGAATATTGACAGTCCACATGCTTTTCTGTGCATAGCAGTACCTATAAAACTAGGCCCTATATGTTTACAGCTGGAAGTAAGTGGCAGGAGTGCTCTCATGATTAAAACATAAAGGTGGGAGCAGCTGTAAATTCATAATTCAATTTGACTGGTGCATGTGAGAGATTGAGAAAAGGAGATCCCACCCCCCTCTAGAAATCATTAGTTCTTCACTTCAGAGATCAGGTTACGCTTTCCACTTGGCTAGTTCACTTAACAGCACATTGGAGGAACTTGTATAGTTCAACTTTTAATTAAGATGCAATATATTTAAGCACTTAATCCATTTTATAGATTAGCTTCTTATCCTGAGAACTCTTTAAATTAAGCAATTCTGTTGGCAGTATATAATTTATTTTTATGTGTTGTGTTGCCTTTTCAATGCTGAGTTTTTATGACGATGCTTGAGATGGTACAAAATAATCAGAGATGTGGGGCACATATCACCATGCAACTCCTTTTCAATTTAGTGAGTTTTGTGCAGCAGAACGTTCTGCTTGGTTGTGTGCACAGAGTATTGAAAGTGGTTTAATTTTTGTTTCCTCCTTCGGCTATTTTTTCTAGGAATATATATTATATTTCCTCAATACTGAAATATATATATATTTAAAGTTCTTTTAGTGACTCTGCCCTTAGGGACTTTAAGCAATATGGCATTTCTTAATCTTAGACTGTTTTCAAGTTTATGGATTTAATTTTTCAAGGTTTTACAATCCTTTTTATTATCGGGTTGTATTTCCAGTCTATTAATAAGTACAACTTACATTTGCAGTCCTCTGTATTTTATATTTTTAACTCTGAAATGTGTTTTCCTTGGAAAACAGAGAGAAAACAAGATGTGGTATACTGTATTTTATTATTATATTCATCTGCAGAATCCTTCTTAAAATCAATAGGATGATAAGAGGCAGATGACTTCAATTTTTTAAACTAATTCATCTTCATCTGAGATTAAAAGTCCCACCAGATTACTCCTTAACTGATGCTGGTAGTAGCCAGATGAAACTGGGTGTTTTGAAGGAGATGGCAGAGCTAGGGTCAAAGAGCCACTGCATTCTAAACCAGTCAAGTTAATGGCAATGAGCCTAATTCAGGCCTATCGGCCTGCAGTTAGAATTATACAGTACTAACACTCACCTTTCACTCAGATTGGCAGAAGTAACAGGGCTCTGAAGGCGGCAGAGATTCCACCGCTCTTTACTGATAAAATAAAATACAAATTGTAATGTAAATTACCAAAGACTTGTTCAGAAGGGAATGGGAAATGAAAATATATTGAGATAGAGGGAGAAATATGGGATAATGAACCAAAAATGGCTGCTTAGTGTGCAAGGGGAAAGAGGTGACGTGCTGATGTTGAAAGTCTGAGAGGGAGACTAAATTAGAGAAATGAAAGAGCATGATATTATCTTCTTACATTTATCCTTCCTTTAGGATTTATCCAAAGCATACCAAAGGGTAGGAATCCTCAGTGTTGGCACCTAAAGGGAACGTCCGTGTGAACGTAAGGGCAGGGTGATAATCTTTACTTTTCAAAATGGGGTGGAGTCTTAGCCAATAACCAGTTTCCTGATTTGGACATAATGGAAAGGTATAGTTAACAGAACACATGAATGGAGGAGCAAAGCAGATGAGTGTGGGGGGGAACAAGGCTAATTTACATCTTGGATTATTAAACTGAGAGATGACTGCTGAAACACAACCATTTCGTTGAAAGCCTGAGGAACCTCCACCCCACACACCTAATTAGAACTAGCAGGGGTCCTAATTTGGCCACCAAGGAAGTTTTTTCCCAAGCCATGCCTACATCCTCCACATCTGGCATTTTGTATGAATTGGGCTGCAGCCACACGCACAGAGAGACAAAGAAGAAAATTTATCAGCATTGTTTTTTTGAGAGGTGAAAGTTTAATACCACCAGTGAGTGATAGAGGTTATTTCAGCTGCTAAGAGAGTCTGTTAGTCTTGTTTGAAATTCACTAATATTAATTAAACCCTAGAAGTGAGCATTAAAAATAGCTCTGAATAGGTCTATATGAATAACTGAATACGGCATATTCTGTTTCTTTGTAAAAATTAGAGGCATACATTTCTGAAAACTGTCAAGTTTAGACCCTTATGTTGATTACATGACTGCTCTTTAAAATGATATCCAGACATTCTGTTATATTATTTCCATCCATCTGAAGAAATTAATGAAAGCCCAGTAACAAATTCCTATACTCGATTCTGGGGGAAAACAAGCAAATTAGAGAAGACCAAACTGCTTGCTACTCCCCACTATTCCAACAGCTTCCTCACTACCTTCAGTGTCTTCTTTCTCCCCCAAATCTGTAATCTCTATTATCATTTTATCACTTCTGAATAGGTGGCGGGGGGAAATATCATGTGTATTAGATAAAGCTTCAGAACTGCTGGGAAGATCTATGAAGGGTTTGCTTTCTGGTGTGCTGCTTCACTCAGTGTTTGAAGTGACAATTTTCCTCATGTTTCAATCATTTGTTATTTTCTCACTTTTATAATTCCATAAGCAGGAGTTGGGCTCAGTATTTCAGAAAAGGGCCCGGAAAGTTATTTGTCATTGGACCTACTAAAATCAGAAGGCCATTTCATGAAATGTGCATGTAGGCTGTGTGGTAATACTGCCATGAGAGAGAGAGAGAGAGAGAGAGATCTGAAAGATCAGGTTTATCTTTAGAACTGTGTTAATCAGAAATAAGGTGTAGTCAGTTATGGATTTGGAAGAAATAGGTAGTACCTGCAATTCTGTACAACAGTGGTGTCTGGTGTATTGAAACTCCATTCATGTGATTCTTGCCTAGAGCTGACATTTCGTGATCAAGGTGCATAACTTTCAATTTTTTTATTTTAAATTTTTATTGGAAATTTTATTTACAACATAACATAAACCCCCTACCCCAATACAGAAACCCACCCTCATTAAACATGAACATAACATACAATAAGCATAACATACAACAATGCAAACAACCAAATAAAATACTTCATTTTTCCTGTATCTGGCTTCCTCATTTACTTCTTCTAAGCTGTTTCCTTTTGAGTAATTATTAAGATTTTTCTAAATTATAACTTAAATATCCACAAAGTCTCCTGCAGACATTAATCGAAACAAGTTCAGGTATAGATAGGTAGCCGTGTTGGTCTGCCATAGTCAAAACAAAAAAAATTCCTTCCAGTAGCACCTTAAAGACCAACTAAGTTAGTTCTTGGTATGAGCTTTCGTGTGCATGCACACTTCTTCAGATATCTGAAGAAGTGTGCATGCACATGAAAGCTCATACCAAGAACTAACTTAGTTGGTCTTTAAGGTGCTACTGG